ACCCGGAAAAGAGACATATATTATTTATATGTGTTTGAGAAATAGAGTAGAAGATCCCTTTTGGTTGTTCACATAAATGCCAGAGAGGAGAGGGCTGGCTCTGCCCCGCAGGAAGCGGTGGGGAGGCAGAGTTGCCCCCTCAATTCAGAATGAAATTTAACTCAAGCCACGGCCACAAGACCCAATCCATAGCTCAGGGCGTGTGTAGGGCAGGCACCGAATGGTTCGTGGGCACTCGGTGACACAAACACACCGGGGGGACCGGGGCTGGCACCATCGCCCTGTCCCGGAGCAGAAGCGACCCCGGTGCCACCCTGCGGCCCTTTGTCCCGCTTTTGTCTTCTCTGGCCCGCAGGAGCCGCTTCTGCCTCGGCTGTTCCTTGGTGCTACAGGTGATAAAAGTTTAAAGAGATGCTGTTACTGAGAGCGGGCTGGGGATGCCATCCCTGCGCTCTGCCCGGCACAGAGAAGCTCCACAACAGCACGGGGAAGCTGTAGGATACAGATAAGCTCTGCAGGCTGCTGTGCTGCGGGTCCCTTGCTTTCTGCTGGCAAAAATCTGGGAAAGCTGTGCTGCAGCTGAGGTGAATCGTCCTGACCACCTAAAGAAATCACCTCTCCCTTCCCTTGAGGGTAGGGCATGGTTCAGGGTCCTTGAGTGAGTGATTTGAATCCCTTTGCTAGTGTTCTGGACAAAGCGACACTTGCATGATATATATATTATGCATATGAATATATATATATATTTATATAATATCTATTTTCATATGCACCTGTATAATAGATATATAATCCTACACACAACAGATTATCGATGTTTTCCTGCAAATGTGTACCAAGGAAGGTGTGCAGTCAATTGAAAGGGAGCCATTAGGAGGTGACAGAAAAATGTCAATCCCTCTGGGATGTCACCTGAGGGTATTATACCTTGGTAATGCTCTCAATTGGTTTTGAGCTGGCTTGGACAAACTGTGTGAGGAAGTAATCCCAAATAGGATTATTTCCATAGGACTGATGAAGATACATCCCATTCCTATCTTTTTATGAAAAAATGATGCTTGAATTTTGATCACTTCTGTTGTGATGCCTCAACATTGTTTTTTGTATGACGACAACAAGGCACTGCACTCTCTTATTGTCACTTGACAGTGGCACCTTTCTGGTCCCTATGGAGACAGAGATGAACCCTCTGGGTTTAGGCAAAGACATGAAGATGTCTGGGGGCTCTGCCATATTTTCAGGAGAAACAGAAGTGTGATGCCACCTTGTGCTTGTGGCACTTTAGGCCTGAAGGGGCCAGTGCTACCTTGGGATTCCTGCTAGGTGCTTTCCCAGTTATATTCCCAGGGCAGGAATTTCTCCTTCTCAGGCTGTTCCTTTGCTTCTCTATCCTTTCCACCAGAAGGAGTTTTCCTATTACCCAAATCATTCTCGCTGCAGGTTGGGCCTGTTTCTGCCTACACAGCTGTGGAAATTGTCTGGTTCCCTCTCCTTGCAGCAGTTTTTTATGCTCTTCACTCTTTCTTCAGTTTGACCCTCATGTCATCAAAAGTCAGATCTCTGCCCAGGTTGGTTTCTCTTTATCCTATTTGCAAGTGGTGCCTGTATTTCTTAATGTAGCTGAAATCCCTGGCACACACAGTGGGCTGATGAGGCTCCATCTGCCCTGTGGTGATTTGGGAGTAAAAGACACCTATTTTTAACCTATCCTTGGTGGCTGATGTCAGGACTGGGACAGGATGGGCCTGTCATGTGCAGAGCCATTCCCTGAGCAGTTGTCATGTGGAGACTGGTGCTTTGTGTACATCTACAACCAAGAGGTGCTTAGAGGGTGGAAGGTAATGCTTCCTTCTCACCCCAACTTGGCTCCAGCCATGCTTTTCCCTGTGGAGAGGAAATTCTGTCACTCCTGAGTGCAGGGGAACTGTACAGGGGAAATAAGATGATGATTTCTCCTTCGTGGTGATTCTATCTTAGAATGGCCTGATCCAGACCCATTTTTGCAGCTCATATTTTCCCCAAGGCTTTTCCCCCAAGAAACTGGACTAAAGGTGTGACTGGCACAGGAGTATATCTGATCTTGGATAAATCCTCCTTCTGAATGTCAATGCCTGTGACTGGAGGTGACTTGGTGGCAGTGCTGTCCTTGCTGTGTGACTAATGCTGTTGCTCTGGGGGCTTTTTTCGGCTGAGCAGCCTGTGGGATGTGTGACTTCCTGGAGGAGGTGCCTCCAGCTGAACCAGAGCAGAGCTGAGGCTCTGAGCCAACCAGGAATCACTGCAGGATCACCACCAACCACAGCCGAGGAGCTGGCACTGAAGTGGGACCATATCCTCGAGGGACCTGTGAATCCACACCGAGCAGCAAAGATGATGGAGGAGGCCGGGGAGAGCAATTCATGGCACACAGAACTCTCTGTGCAGGAGCTCTCTGCTCCCCATGACTGAGCCTTGACTTACCTAGAGCGGGGTCAGTGTAGGAGCAGGGAATGTGCAAGGTGAAACCACGGCCAGCTGTGCTGCCAGCCCTCCCTGCTCCTCCAGCCACAGCCCATGTGGCTCCTGCTGCTCCCTGGGTGTCCCATCGGTGACACGGGGAGGGCTCCTCGCAGCGTGGTGGCCCCAGAGCTTGGTGGGGGTTGTGTGCCCCCCATTGTCGCTCTGCACAGGGCAGGGATGGGGATGGCACCTGCCAGGCACTCTGGAGCAGCAGGGGTGGTAGCACAGGAGGGGGCTTTGTGTGAGGAAAGAGGGTTACATATAAATTATCAAATGTAATGAATCCCCTCTTGTCTAAGAAGGGTGCACACAGAAAGCCTGAGGGAGAACATTTGGGAATTGAGGCAGGCCTGTTTGCTGAGGAGTCTGTGCAAAACCCTCCCCAGCAAAGCTGGAGAGAGAGCTGCTCCAGGATAAGCATCTGGCTTGCACAATTTTGGCACGACCGATCTTGATTCTCAATCCCAGTCTGGGGACCGGGCCCAGTCTGCTCCATTGGGCCCCACACAGCTCCCACCAGTTACCTGCATTCCTCCAGAGCTCTCCTTGGCCTCTTGGTGGCCCCGGAGGAAGCCAGCAGCTTTCCTGCTGCACTGCAGGTTACCTTGGAGTGGCTCGCTCCCTTCCCTCAGTGTCAACTTTAGATTTATCAGGATATATCTCCCTGCACTTGGGCTCTTATTCCTCCCTATCAGCTTTGCAGAGAGCCAAGAACTTGTTCAAGAGCAGAACTGCCCTGTGGCTGGAGCTCTGCCCCCACAGGGTTGCATGGAAGAGATATGAGGTGTTTCCATCCCACATCAGTGAATCCATTCACCGCATAGCCCGCGGGCAAATGAGGTCAAAACGTGTCCTGTGACACTGCAGCACAGGACGGACTCAGAGCAAGCAGGTCTCCAACACCTCGGTACCTGTGCTGATCTTTTGGGAAAGAGGGAGGGGAACAGTCCAGCTTCTTTTAAGGATCTCTGTGCCCCTCCTGACGAAGCTGGGCCATGCTGCACCTCGCAGCCTCTGCTGCAGGTACAGGGTACCTGGCCTCGCTGGAGCAGCGCTCAGGATCAGGTCCAGAAGAGGGATGGGTGGCTGCAGCACTCGATGGAGCCCTGTGGGCACTGGATGCTCCCTCACTCCTGTCTCCTGACAGGTTTGGATGCATGACCCGTCTACAACTGCTCAGTTGTGCAATGCCCCTGCAGCAGAACAGCCTCAACACCGTGCTCCTGTCCTCCACATCTCTGCTTCTTCCCTCGCCCCGCTTCCCCCAGGAGACCTACCTGAGAGTCCCTGCTTTTCACAGGCCAGCTTGAAGTCAAGTAATCCCACAAAGTACTGGAGGTTTTCCTTTCCCCCCCTCCTAAGCAAGGCGGGTGCTCTGCCACTGACATTTCCACTGCAGACAAGGTCGTGTGTCCCGCACAAGCACTGCAGGGATGGAGGATGGAGCCATCCATGGCCTCGGTTCCTTGGACAGGCACAATGCTGACAAAAGTGGAGCAGAGATGGAGCGGGAGGGGGCACAGAAAATTTGGTGTATGTGGCTCAATCCAGCTCTGTGGCTTTTTGCTGCCAAATAATAAAATCCTCCCTTGCCCAAGCACAGTCCTCAGGGAGCTCGAACTTAGGGCTCGCTATGTCTTTAGGAAGTTGAATACACGAGACGTACAAGAGAGATTTATTGAGGTCTAAAGCCTAACCTGAGAACCGGTGTGGGCTGCTGCAGTCTCGCTGGAGACTGCGAAAGGGGATGTGTGCCACCTTGCAGGCTGCGGTGACAGGGCCGGAGGTGGCACTGGGGAGGCTGCAGTGCTGCAGCCCCTCACCTTGCCAGCCCTGCTTTTGGGAAAAAAGCAGGCTCATCGTTCAGTTCTGTGAATAGTTGAGTTGCAGAGGGGCTCAGAGGGGCAGGACAGGACCCTGGACCTGTCTTGCAGCTCCGCAGAGCAGCAGGAGCCACATGGCCGAGCCCCCGTGCGCCTGAGGAGCATTGCAGGGGCAACGGCAAAAATAAAACCGAAAAAGAGCTATTGAAAAAATGAAGCAAAAAGCGCCCCCCTTCCTAAAATCCCCCAGAGGGGTGTTTTTTCAGGGAGCTTCTGAACGGCATTGTGGAGGCTGAGAAGAGGAGGGGGTGTCCCTTTGCAGGGGAGAGGGGGGGGTCCCTGCAACCAGGGGCCGCTCGTCACCCCCCGCCCACGCCCCGCTCCTCGGGGCGCTCCCTGCCCGCGGCCCCCCCAGCTCTGCCCGCATTGTCCTGCCGCTCCTGCTGCCCTTTGTACGCCGGGAGCCCCCGCAAGCCCCGGCGGGGCCGGAGCGGGGCCTCCCCCCGCCTCCCCCCGTGCCCCCGTTAATGCGAGGAGACAGCTGCCCCGCCGGGCGCTGGCGCATTGTTACTCCTATTTGTCAAAAGGCCGAGGATGCTCCATAGATCGCTCCGTGGCTGTTGTTAAGTGTAATTAGAGGGTTTATGTCCCCAATTTCCATGAAAATGAAGCTGTGAGGCTCCTCTCTTGGCATTCACCGCGTGCCTTAATTGTATGGACATTAAATCAAGGTCCGCTGTGAACACGCAGAGAGGGGCTCGGGCTGTCCCCGCTCGGAGCAGGGCAGGCGGCGAGCGGGGCTTGCGGGAGAGAGCCGGGGGGGGGAGAGAAAGAGAGAGAGAGGCTGTCAGTGCAGGGTCCACCCCGCCGGGACCGCCGGCCGCCCTCCCCGCCGCCCGGGGCCCCCCTCCGCCGGGGCGGCCGCGGGGCCGGGGGCGGCGGGGAGCGGAGGAGGGCGGCGAGGAGGGGCTGCCTTGCGGCCGGGAGGTGCTGCCGTCCTTTTTCCCCCCGCTCCTCGCCCTGCCGGAGCCGGCAGCATCCCCCGGACCTCCTCCCAGCCGCACCGCTGCAGCGCAGCCGGGCTGACGCGGAGCGGAGGGGCGGACAGACGGACACATCCCGAGCTCCGGCCCTACCAGCGAGAAAAATATGGCTGGTAGTGATAATGATATAATAGGAATAATGATAATAATGGTAGTAATAATAATAATAATAACAACGGAGCCGGTAGCGCCGAGGACATCTCGCAACGAGCCTCCGGCTGCCGGAGCCGTGCGGCGCGTCCCGGCACGGAGGCAGGAGCGGAGGCAAAGCGCCCGGAGATGCTTCACAGCCCCCCGCGGTCCCGGGGCTGCGGGAGCGGCTCTCCCCTCCACGCCGGGCCGCCGCCGTCCGAGCCCCGGGGGGATGCGGGGGATGCGGGGGACCCCCGCTCCCTCCCCAGAGCGACATGAAAATCCCGCTCGTGTGTTTGTCTTTGCTGGCCAGGCAAAGGAGCCGATTTCTCTCCTCTTGAAGGGAAACCGGTGAACGTTAAACATGCGTTTCCCATCTCTCCGCTCCGCCGCGGTTGGCACAATAATCGCTTCATTTAAAAAAAAATTAACAGCAGTGCAAAAAGGAAAAAAAAAAATTAAATTGAGAGGGATTAAAAAGAGGTAAAGCAATGAAACCGGTTTCTTGATCGCCGTCATGAATTTAGGACGATTACTCTCTCTAGATATCGCGTCTGAAAAATTCTCACCCCCTCCCCTTGCTCCCCTCTTTTTTGTCCAAAAGCAAAAAAAAATAAAAAAAAAAAAAAGGAAAAAAAAAAAAAGAAAAAAAAATCACAAGCCCATTAAGGTCGCTTGCACAAGGGGAAGAAAAAAATCCTGATGCTGTTCCAAGTCAGCGATAAAGCCGGTCGCTCCCCGCCACTGTCGCCCGCACCCCGCGCTCACAGCCGGAGCCCCGCTCGTAGCGGATTTACCCACTCGTGGACGCGGCGCCCGGCGGCTCCGGCGGCACAAACTCCGCTCCTCGCTCAGATCCAGTGCAAACGCCCTCCCGTGGCTCAGGACGCTTGTTTTTGTGTAGGCAAGCTGGAGATGAATAAGAAAGGCGCCTAGTCTCTCATTATCTTTGAATTTCAGACTTTTCTCTCTCATTTTTTTCCCCCCTTTTCTCTCTCTCTCTCTTTTTTTTTTTTCCTCTTTTCTCCTCCTGCCCTGGAACAATGCAGAAGGACCTCATCAGAGTGAAAACCAGGCTCCCGCTAGGCTTTAAAAGCAAGATGAACTTGGTGCACCACCCATCTTTCTCTTCTCTTCTCCGAAGCTCTTTAAAGGGGTTATGAGGCGTCTCTCTCAATTTATCCCTTTTCTCTTGATCTTCCTAGCAGAGGGGTTTGGGGTCTAGTCCTGGCTGTTTCAGCTGATCTCATCCAGTCTAAGGGATTAGAGCTTCTTCTCCGCATCCCGGCTCTCAGCACATCTGCTGATTGGGTTCAGCACAAGAGGATTACATTGGGACCCAATGACGTCACCGCTAGGACATAAGTTCTCCTCCATTAACCAAATCCTCATCAGCAAGATGTCCTTGAAACTGGAGGAGTAACATTCAGGACTCCATCGCCAGCCCGTCCCCACCTTCCTCCCGGGCGGGCTGCTGGGGCTTTCGGAAAAAAATATTGTTTAAGCTTTGAGCACTTGCAGCTGCATCAATAATGCACCGCTCCGGGCTGGAGGATCGAGGCGGCACAGGAGAACGTGTACCCTATAAATAGGGTTCTGCACCTAAACTGTTAATCAGAGGAGCTTTATATATTCTGTTGCTTTTTCTTTTTTTTTTTTTCCCCTTTTTTTTTTTTTTTTTCTTGGGAAGGGAGGGGGTGGAGGGGCAGAGGGGGAGGGGAAAGCTGAATCCTACAGTTATATTTCCAAGCTCAAAAAGACATCAGCGATAATTTTCTTTAGAGCTGACATGGATGTAATTTTAAAACGTGTTTTTTTTTCTTTCTTTTTTTTTTTTTTTTTTTTAAGTAATGTGTAGGATTTCACCCCCGTTCTCTCCGAGAAGAGACAATGTGTCCTGAGTTATATAAAGTAAGCGGCTCCCTTTAAATATACAATACGAATTTTATATTTTGGGGTTTCATGCTAGATTTTTCTTAATGCTGCATGAGCTCAGATTCACAGGAGCGAGGACCTGGAAGGAAATGGGTTTGACTTCCAAGTGAAAAACTGAGAGAGTATTTTTTTTTCTTTAAGCTAAAACTTCCACCCTGGAAAACACCAAAAGCACGTATAGATTTGCTGCTCTCAACCTGCTCTAACCTCTGCCGTGGCATCCAGGCATCTCTCCCCGTCCTCTCAGGCATCCTGCACTTGCAGTTTAGCTGGCGCCTCACTATATCCTTCCACTACATCCATTTTGCGAGCTGGGAAGCAGAGATGGGTTTGCTGCAGCTCTTGTTGGTTAAACTTACAACCTCATCACAGGGCGGCTGCTACAGTGGGAATAGGCTCTGAGGTTTATTTATTTATTTATCTCAGGCCACCAAATCTAATCTCTGGGAGAAGAAATCGTGTTTAATAACAAGCAGACTATGTCCAGTTTGTAGAGGTCTTGCTTAGAAGCCTTGCATGTGTTTAATTTTTTTGTAAGCACCCTGCTTCTTCAGTGCTAGTTACCCATCCCTCCCACTCCAAACACACACATTCCCAAAAAAAAACATATACAGGCACACTCACACTCATTTTTGCAACAGGGTGTGCAGGTCTGTGGCTTTCTACACGCCCTTATTCCCTGCCTAGAGTAACTTTTATGGCCAGCAGTGCTGTGCGTGTTTGCTAGCAGAGCTTTCAGGTGAGTATTTATTTGCCTGGGTGTATTTCTATACACTGTGGTATTTTCCTTCATGGTAGGAAGGGTGTAAGGTGGGGGAAGGCAGGATACAATTGTTTTGATGGAAGGTTTCTTGCTCCAGTGCTGGAAGTCTCTCCCTGCTGCAGCACTAGGAGCATTTCCAGGACAGCTGGGCAACAACCGCTGGAAGAGGGATCTATTTATTCCTTCCCCGCTGGAGCAAAACAATTGTTTTGAGGCCGTCGTCTCCCTCGCTGATGGCCGTGCCACGCCAGGCCGGGCTCCGAAGGGGAAGCCGCCTCCAAATAGCAGCTCGTAAAAAACTGGTGGGCCCTGTTGCCTACTGAAATACTCTGCAGGGAGGTGAAATATCACCTCCCAAACTCAAGAGCCATATTTACAAGGCAGCAACAGCATTGAGAGCCCCTGTCCCTGTTTGTGTGCCCTTTCCTCTTCCTCTTTTATAATGCTGCGGTTCATGACAAGCACAAACCGGGGACAATCAGTGTTTGACATTACACAGCAAAGGGAATTTTACCTTCGCTTTTCATCTTCTGAAACTTAAAAAAAAAAAAAAAAAAATCTGCTTATTTAGAGCCTGTTCCATATTGACCTATTTACTCCACCAGACCGAGGCTCTCAATCTTTTATCGATTTAAAAGAAAACAACCTAAACAAATTAACACGGAGGAAAACGCTCAGGTTTGCCGTGTGCACGGGGCCTGTCCCCGGGAGAGGCTCGGAGCCGGTATCCGCACCCAGCCCCGGGAGTTCTGCTCCGAGCCGAGGGATGCCGAGGGATGCCGAGGGGCTCTGGGGATGCTCGGGATGCGGCGGGGCAGCCTCCCCCTGCCCATCCGCGACCCCTGACCCCCCATCCGGCCCGGGTTCGGCCTCCCCGCCATCCCCGGTCCCTGTGTCACCGAACCCTGCCCCGTGCCCCGGTGCCAGCCCCGCCGGTCCCCGCGTCCCCCGGCCCGGCCCGGCCCGGCCCCGCTTCGCTGTCCATGGTGTTGAAGGAGCGGAGCCGCAGCGGCGGCGCCCGGCTCAGCCCTGGGGGGGACACAGGGGACACCCCCGGCTTGTTCTGGCCTAAAATGAGGCGATGTTTCGCTCCGTGCCCTTCCCGACAGCTCCGCAGCGGCCGGGAGCCCTGCGGGGAGCTCGGTCTGTCTGTCTGTCTGTCCCCCAGCCCTCGCTGTGCCCTTGCCTGCTCCGTCCCCCCGCCAATCCTCCCCGAACCCCCCTAGTCAGGGGCTGATTTTGCTCTCCCTCCCCCGCTGGAGCGGGGTTGGGGTATTTTGGGTCTCCTGTCAATGCGAAGCCCCGTGGTAGTGACTGAGCGGTGTCATATGGTGGTGTGGGGGGAGCGCTGCTGCTCGGCAGGCTGGCAGCAGGGTTTATTTCTCCTCTAAAACAAACCCACCACCGGCTCAGCCCCGCTAAAGTTTGCCATTAAATGCCCTCACCAGCTCATCCCCTGCTTGTGCGGCCCTGCAGCCTTTTTTTCATCCCTTTAAAGGCAGGCTGGGTTTGGCTGCTATTTTACCAACACTTCCAGTGAGACATTTTGTCTTAAGCGCAGCCCTTCCTTAATCTCTAATGCAGCATTTCTCCATCCCAGAAGAAAATAGTCAGATGATTCGTAAAGGGCCATTTTTTCCCCCCTTTTTCGTTTCTTTCTTCTTCTCCTCCTCTGTCGCTCTCTGCCTTTTTAAACCTACCACCTACTGTTCCCTGAACAAAGAAATCCCAGAGACAAGCAACATGCCTCCACTTTCCTTCCATTTCCAAGCCCCTGCTCCACCATGCATAGATGACCACATTAGAAAAATATACAAGACTGAACCCCAAATCAACTGCGGCACAACAAACGGCGGAAAACGTGCGCTCAGCCCCGTCCTGGACAACGTGACACGCACGCACACACACAGACACCACACACGTGCTCTCTCTCACA